TTCTTGCTAAAAACACTATTTTCTTCTTTTCTAGTTATAAATTCAATAAATATTGTTAATATGATGGATGTTGTATGTGTGGGGAAAGGGTTATTAAAAGGGGAAAGGGTTAATTAAAGGGGAGGAAATGGTTGATTAAAGGGGAAAGGGTTAATTAAAGGAGAAAGGGTTAATTAAAGGGGAAAGATGTGAAATAATTTCACAGAGTATTAGCTGACATTGTGAATCTTGAATTCAACTTTCATTTTCTATTGTTTAATGTCTTTAGAGGGAGTAGTCTGTAATAGTGTGGTGAAAACAAAACATATTTTATTTTATGTGGACGTGAAAATGGTGGATAAGGAGGGGGAAGGGAATTCTGTTACTGTCCATGCCTATAAATAATTATTAGGCTACCAGATATTTTACACGTACCATGATCAAACGTCTTGCTGAGATGATCTCTGACAATATACAGAGCAACACGAGTTTTTCCTGATCCAGTAGGAGCACAGATGATTGTGTTTTCTCCATTAGTTGCAACTTGGCTCAGTTCATATTGATATTCTCGCATGGGCAGTTCATCTTTCTCTACTAAAAATACATATAAATAACAAAAATACATCAAACATTTAGTTTGAGAATCAGAAACCCTTTCAGAGAGTTTTTATAGCTGGTATTATTTGCCATGTTGGATTCTCAGTCAATAATCTAAGTTTTTATTCCTGTAAAACAACGCACAGAAGTTTGACCCAACACCAGCTTTACGGCGTAAAAAAATTCAATGCTAAGAGGTAAGATCTAGGGCCAGTTGGACAATCCTGTTGAACCTAAGATGTTACCCATAGTAAAATCACTTTTTTACAAGAAAATATGAATGTTTGTTATGTTAGTTGTATTATGTGATTATATTTTAATTGCTAGATACTCACCAGAAGCATCCAACTTCTCCTCCGCATCAGAAAAACCATCTTCACTATCGTCATTAGAGGTATCATCCCGAATAGGAGGATCTGGTCTTTGATCTGGTCTACTATCGGAACTATATTCATTAGCTGTAATTGATCAAATTTCAATGAATGAAAAAAAAACAGACCCAACAACAGCTACTCCACACTTACTATCACGTACTAGGGTGGCAGTTTTAACATGGGGCTCATGGAATTAGAGATTTTCGTTACTTATGGTATTTCAAGGTTCCCTACCAAATAAAACTGTCAACAAATCTGAAAAAAGTTTGGCTGGCATAAAACCATCCTGATTTACTGACTGAAATCATTTAACCATTCTTGGGTCATATATTCTTGAAAACATAACTAAGATCAATTTAGTGTTCAAGTCATCGGTTGGTCAATCAATAAACCAATTTTAAGTTAAGATTTATTATCCAATCAGATTATTGTATTTCTTAAAATCTGGATTTTATCCTATTTCAGTTTTCGAGAAGAAGGCCCCATCAAAGAAAATGAGGTAAATGTCCATGACCAATTTGACAAAAAGAGAAATGAAATAAATGAATAAAAAATAAATTTTCTTTAAACATGTTAATGATATGATGTCTACGAAAAAGGTTCTTAACGTGGTGACAAATATGGAAAAATCTTTTTACCTCCCTGATAGAAAAAGGACCCTAGTAA